CTCATTACCATCACAGGCAACAAGCTTGTTCCTTTGGCCGTCAAACTGACAGGAAATTGACAGAGAATGATGATCAGTATTTATTGAAATGAGTATAGACATTTAGAGAGAGAGAGAGTGTGTGTGTGTGTGTGTGTGTGTGTGTGTGTGTGTGTGTGTGTGTGTGTGTGTATGTGTATGTGTATGAGTATGTGTGTGTGTGTGTGTGTGTGTGTGTGTGTGTTTGTGTTTTTACCTCTTCTATTAACCTAGCCTGGCCTTGCTGGAGCATAGGCCTCATGGCTTTCTGCAGTAAACCTACAGAGCCAGGGTACAGCATTCTCCTCCCAAATGAGTGAGCAATAAGAAAACTAGAGAGGAAGAAAACAGACATGATGACACTGCAGCGACAACGAAAAATGAGACAATAGGGGTGAAATGAGATGCAAACGTAACACAGAGCTTAACACCTGTATCTTTTTCCCTTTTTGTGATACTAATAACAAATCTGCAGTGTCGTCATGCAGTCACTCAGAGCCTGCATTTTTGTCTCACACTGCATAAACAGCCTTTACCTGATGATGTGGCATGGCAGAGTGCGCACAGAGTTGAGGACACTGTCTGCTGCTCCTCTTAATCTGGGCTCTGGCTTCAGCAGAGAAACACCAGCCTTGGACAGTTTTCTGTCAATAATAGAGTCAAAGGCTTACAATGAAACAGATGAGCCACAAAGCATTTGACATTCAGTGGAATTATTCATCGTACTTCACACTACATTGAATGCATGTATCTATAATGAACTGACCCTGTTGAGAATATAACTGCAATGAAAACGACCAAAAACTTACGGATTGCTGACTTCTGCCCAGCTGAAATCTGAAGGCCAGTGCGAGAAGTCAAAGTCATAGCACCTCAGTTTTTTCTTGATGGAAAGCACACAAAGAAAGTAGTTGTGTCAAGTTCTGACTGTTTTAGTATATAAACTTGCAAATTTGTAATTATTCATTAATCTCCTTGATTTTCAAAATAAAGCAGTACTAATACAAATAGAAAATACAGTCTTAAGGCTTAGTACTTGCTTTATGTTGCAATGATCTCACCTTGTTTGCTGGTGTGTTATTCTTCTTGGTATCTTCAAGAATGGAGATAAAGTGAACATACTCAGAGTTCTTCCATCTTCCCCACCCTGGGGAAAAATAGAAAGAGGAAACAGGGGGTGGGGGGAAAGCAAAGATAGAGAGAGAGATATTTTTTTTTTTAAAAAACAACATTTTGCTGCAAAGCCTCAAGGGTGTGTTTAATATGCTTTGCGGTTATAGACCTTGTGCAACTGTCACTGTGTTTATAAAATCTTATTGGTATGCACAGGTTTATGCAGCATATGGTTTGATATGTAAAGATGAATGAACTGAATTAGTCATAGCCTCAGTCAGTTGAAATCTGTAGCCTCACCTCTTAGACAGGCCATTCCTAGAAGACACACCAGCACGGTTCCCACATAATGACTCACTGGAACCAACTTACTACTGGAGATGTAACCTAAAAATACACAAAGCAACAGTGACACAGACATCTACATAGCAACCCCCCCCTCCACCCCCCATCTCTCTGCCAGGCTTGAGCCTCATTACCCAACACCAATAAAAAGATTTACAGTCTGATAACTATCCTCCAACCATGTGCATTGATCAATATCAGAAGCGCAATTATACACTAAGGAGTAGCACACAACTTCAAGCAATTAATTTCTATTGATGTGCAGTCTTACTGAATAATACACTTGATTAACTTTATATTAATCTCACTTGTCGGACATCAGCAATTCCCAAGAACAACCCCCAGTCGTCATTTGTCTTCCATAATAGAAGGAGAAATGTCATCCCCATTATTATTATCCGATACATATTTTGACATATATCACTGCCAGACCTTCTAAGGAAAATTACTACTGAAACATACAAAGTTCATGTCTTATACACCATGAGAAAAAATGGCTTCAGTGTTTTGTTTTTTCTTTTGTGATTTGCTATTCTCACAAAAGAGTAACACTGGGAAATGAGATTGATGTTATTATCATGAAATTATTCTCAATATTTTCCAATATGCAAAAATCACACATAATATTATCAACTGATGTTCAAAGCCAGTTCCACTATTGAGCATTATATGAAATCAAATTCTTTATACGGATAAAAAAAAATATTTTCATTACAGCTTGCCTGGAAACTTTGACTATAGAATTTTGTAGAAAGATAACATATCATTATATCATCACAATATTACTGTGTGTGCAGTCAGTCATGTGGGAAAGTCAATAAATGATAATATCACCCAGTCCTTAATCAGATAGTATTACATACAACCAAGTCTGTCCCTCTTTGGAACATCTCTTGTGATAAAATGTCACAACTAAGGCTTAATAATTACTTTCATTTTCAAAAATCTGAAAATTATTTTCTCAATTAACTGATCAGAAAATACTGGTACATATTGGTCTTTCATCCAATGCGATGTCTTCCAATGCCTTATTTTGTCTGACCGACAGTCCAAAATCGAATTCAATTTACAGAGCTATAGCTATACAGCTGGAACAAGTGAATGTTTCCTGGTTTTGCTTGATTGTTTCAACTCTAGTCATAACATCAGTCAATAATATAGAAATGACATATCTTGCATCTTGCAACCTACCTTTCCTGTACAGATAGCAGAGGAGAAGAGGAGAGCTGTAGTAGGACAGAGACCACAGTGCTGAAGCCTGGAGGATGGGGAACACATCTACATTACTTAACAAAACTTCTTATTTCCGTCCAAATTACCAACCATACACAGATACTGACCCAGCCGAGGATGCTGTCAGTGTGTTTCTCCAGACTTCTGAGTTGGTAGCTCCATCCCTGGAAACACAGAAAGAAATTGTTCCCATCATGAATCATTGTCAGAATCAGATTGATTGGCCAAGTATGTTAGCACACACAAGGAATTTGGTTCTGGCAGTTGGAGATTTTCAAGCAATCAGACTGACAATGTACATACTATTCACAGACAACACACAATCTACAAGCAATATACAGATTATATAAGAATATTCTAAGGTGCAAATGTGTGTGGTAGTGCAAACAACACAACACAACAAGTGTGCATAAAGTATGCTAATGAAATTGTGATGTCTGAGTATTTGTACAAAACAGTACTTGTAGATGTGAAGCTGGGTGTAATAATTATCTGAACAAACGAGAATTGCCGTGTCATACCAGGTGATACTAGTCAGCTAATTATGAAGGTGATGGCTTGGGGACTGCACCTGTGTCTGGTAGTTTTTAGTATACAGGGTTCTTTGGCACCTGCCAGAGTGGAGGAGTTGGAAAAAGTTGTGTCCAGGGTGTGAGGAATCAGTAATGATTATCCTTGCCGATTTCTTGGTTCTTTAAGGGTACACAGGCAGGGGAGCACCAATTATTTTTTTCTCATGTCCTCTTCGCTGCAGTCTGCTCCTATCCAGTTTTGAGCACTGCTGCTAAAGTTAGCTTAGCTTGTAGCACAGGCTGTAGTAGTTTACAGAAACACGGGGTAGATACTCAAACCACACCTTCTGATAGAGTTAACACACATGTTCCTTATTATTATTGGCTGTCTGTTCAGCGTCTGTCTTTTCTTTTCCCGTATTGGCAAAGTTTCTTCTCACCTGCACTCTAGCTAGCATTAGCACAACCGGGTTAATGTAACGAAGAACACAGTTTACGAAGCTAGAGTTAGACTGGCTGTTACAGTGACAGTAAAATAGAAAGGAACTGCACACAAAAAGACAAAAATATTAATCTACGGCTGCCATTTCATTCATTTACTGACTGTCACAGCGGCTGTGAAAGCAGGGTTTCATATACAAACACCTGACACTTCGGGGCCGCAGCCGCGACCACTTCGTTGCTATGGCATTAAATACCACTCAGTTTTCGCACTCGGTGTCACTTAACACATGTAAATCATTATAGATATTCCTACCCTTCTTCCCGCTCGGCCCTCGGGTCGAGACTGGTCCGGTGAACGGTGAATTCGTTGCAGATGAGGCCCTAAAACACAGCGGAGCCACATCCAGCCTGCCATTCTTCCACTACGACGACTACCGAAGCCTGTGCTAACCAAATGTGTCAAACGCGAAAGCGTTCAGGTGTTTGTTGTTAAAAGTCATTTTTGGACACAGGCACATTACAGACATCAGTGTTTATTTAGAAATATCTATACTTAAATACATTGTTCGAAATTAAGTATATTTACACAGGTAAATATACTTTTTACTCTAATTGTACATTGATGCTTTTTGTGAACCCTTAAGCACTTGTTATTTTACCTAGGCTATTGAGATTTTTACATTCAAATTATATGAACGGTTTGTCAAATATGACACATTGTTCAGTGCACAAAATTCACTTGATGAGCAATTTTAGACCTTAACTGTGTCCTTGATTTTGAAAAAAAAGTGGAGAAAAAAAATCTAGTGCTGTAAGAATATCCCAGACTGTTTTCATTGCCAATTACCTTGTTTGAAGTATTTTCTAAAATTCATTTTTCAGTCATTTTAGTGTTGCAATCTAACTTAGCTCTTTCAAACTTCAGAAATTCCTTTCTAAACCATTTTTCAAAACAAATTGACGAGGCTTGCAAGACTCAGTCAGATATATATGAAATAAAACACCATCAAATAAGTAATTACTTTTGCATATTGCAGTGGTTCTTAAACTTTTTCACATCAAGGACCCCTTGACTGACACAAATTTAGATTATGGACCCCCATTTATTAAGATTTTGTCCCAGGGTCTCCCATCTGATAAGATTTTTGGATTTTAGATGTTTTATTACAGAAAGTGTTTGAAACCCCTGACCAAAAAAGTAATATAGTTTGTCATTGTGTTACTTATGAATGGAATTATAGTGAAAACAAATCATTTTGCTTAGGGGTCCTCAGACCCCACTTTGAGAACCACTGGCATAATGAATACTTTTACTTTTGATTATCAGATACATTGTGTTTACATGTACTTTTACTTAAGTAGAACTTTGAAAAACCTTTTTTTTCTGTGGTATTACCACTTGTGCTTAAATAAAGGCTCTGAATATTTCTTCCACCACTGCTTAAACACAAATACCAGACAATAAGACACTTGTTACAGTACCAAATGTTTAACAAGTAAGTAAAACAGTGTCCATGAAACCAGTGAATGAGACAATATTAATGTTCACACATTTGGAACAAGTTTTAGAGCCTTGTGAGAAAATCTTTCCCCTTCTTCTCCGTGCGCAGCCTCAAAACACAACATTAAAGCAAATCAGTATCAGAGAACTTATAAAGAGCAGTAGCTTAGAATACAAAAAAAACCAAACATTTAAACAATTGAATAGCATTTCCCTGAAGCACTGAAGTTTTTCTTTAAGTCCCAACTCTGACATTCAGTTGTTACTTTTGTTTATAAAGCCCCTCTGCTGCAGATGGGAACTGAGCGGATGTGACAGCTGTATGAGGATGAGATGTGGGTAGGTGATCAGCTCTGACACAGCTCGTATCTGAAAACAGAGCACAAAGACAAACTCGCACAAAAATCTCCCGTCCTCCAGTCTCTTTTATTCTTCCTTAAACACAAACACAAACACAGACAACCCACGCAACAACAACACATGGGCAAAGGAGCCCTGCCTGTCGGCGCATGGCGTGATATTATGCCACAGTGTCAGAGTGATGTTCAGGCCAGCGTGATTGGTGAGTGTGAGAAGAATGTGTGGGGCAGATGAGTGACAGTGCAAACACACACACATATAAACACACACACATATGCTTCGACATACAAAGGCACACACAGGTGACGCAAGGCTTTTTGCTTACTGCTCCAGTTCCGTATAGACATCATCCTCTCCTCTTGGCTTCAAATCCTGGTACAAATATGAAAAGGGGGAAGAGAAGCAGGCAGGGAAAGAGTGGGACAGTGAAGAGGAGGATAAAGAGAGAGATGCATGGTACTGAGGCCAGATTTATGTCCCTTTATTGTGTATTGAGATTGATTTGTTAATACCACTAATGTAAAGGTGACAGATGATAGGCAATGGGTTTATCTGAGGGAGGGCTGACAGAATGCAAGTGTGAAGACTGCACGTGTGAAGGGAAGACGTATCTGCTGACAGCTTAGGGAGGGTGCAATTGAATAGAGAAGAGTCTGTATGCATTGGTGGATGCTTGTACACATGCACCACGCCTCTGTGTGTGTATGTGTCAGTGTGTTTATGAGCAGGGGACTGCACAATAACTCACCATGTAGACTGAGCCCTGGGGAGGAGCCTGTTGGGAAGGGAGGAGAGCATAGAAAACAGGTTTAATGAACGAGTGACAGAAGGAGAGATATTGGAATTCAGAGGAAGAACAGAAACAGAGGAAGAAATGCAAAAATTAAGAAGTGTAAAATACAGACAAGACAGAACAGGGGAGGGGAAGAGAAACAAAAAGAGAAGACAAAGAGTGCTAAATACCAGAGTGGAGGTGTAAGAGAGGAGAGAATGAGGGCTAAATGGGAAAGGAAATTCAACAGAGGATATTGAGACATAGAAAATGTCTGAATTCATCACCTGTCTGATATCTTCTGGATTCTCATAGATGTTCTCTGTTTCACCCGAGTGGACAGACAGAGACTGCTCAATACCTACAGAGTACAGAGAGATAGTTACTAATACAGTCTCACACACACACTCAACTGCACAGGGAGGGAGGAGGTGGGGGGCAGATTCATTACAACAACCCCAGAGGATGTCACGGCCCACATCACTCAGTGGCAGCCGACAGGGGTCGAAGATGGACGGAGCACGGAAAGCTGTCAAAAAAAAAAGAAAACGCCAGAAGACTCACCGCGATCAGAAATGTGTTTCTGTCTCCATAGCAACACACCAACAGCCGCAGCAACCAGGGGCACCAGGAGTAATAAAGCAGAGAGAGAAGGGAGCATGGGGGGGGTGGGGACACCGACAATCTCTACAAAAGGAAAAAAAAAAGCATGAATGTTTCTACGAACAGTGCTAATGTAAAACTCACAGGGCTATGGGTGTGTGTGCTTGAATGACATGGAGGCTGTCCACAGAAGTTATTGCTGTTTGTTCTTCAGTTTGCTCTTTTGTTCATGTCAAGAGGGGGCAAGCTTTTCTTTACATGAACTACTTCAAGCTATATCTTAAGACATGTCGCGGTTAAGATTTTCTCAACATGTTACACGCATTTGCATCATGCTGCTGTCAGTCACAGGTTGGAAGAAGGCGATGAAATCCAGGCTTTGTCAGACAGAGTGAATAGTCTGTATGACAGCTCAGTAGACATCGATCTGACAGACCCTCGGTCTGGACAGTAAACGCTGTCAATTTGAAGCGTGGATGAGAGGAAGGAAAGCAGTGGTATCAAAGAGACCAGACTCTGTCAGGCCATTACACAAAGACACAGCAAATGTTACATAAAGTAGTTTGATCCAAGTTTTTGCATATTGCAATTATTCTCTGTTCCATTACATGAATATGTTAGTACTGTACGTAGAGTCAGGAGAGACTTTTCCTTGCAAACCCACTTGACATCTAATCTAAGCAACTAACTGCCTCTAGGGAAACTGAAAAAAATGTAAATAGCAGTCTTTCAGCCAAACCTCGGTCAATGCAGCTCTGAACAACAACATTACATAAGCAAACCATTAGCTCACTGTAGTACTAGTCAAATTTTGTGGAAAGAGCACACGCTTGTGATCAGACTCGTCAGGTTTGTTTGCATAATGAGGATGACATCAGTCTCGCAAAACACAGCCACAGGGTGACATGGGAAACAGAAGGGAGGTGCTTGTTTCCACAGAGACTGCTGTAATTTAGTGTACCTGAACAAGCGTTCTGTTGCTGCCTGCTCACTGCTCATGGAGCACAAAGCTATTGCATCTGTCAGACAGCTTTGGATTACAAAAGAGGAGCCCAACAAACAAAAAAAGTACAGAACTATCAAAACAGACTTTTTATTGCAGTTATCATCATTTCTAAAGAATTCATGCAGTGTGTTCTTGTGGCATTTGAGGTTATCTGATGGACAGAAACCTGGCAGAAGTAACGTCCACTCACACATCTCATCAACTTTCCTTAAAATTTTTGTTTGTAAAAGCACTGGCCCTTGGATTTCACCTTAGCCCTGGTGTCACAGCTTTTAGCAGGTTTCAAAATAATCAATCATTATGCACTGTGTGAGGTATAATTGATTGGGGAGTATGTGTAGAGGTTGCTAATGGAATATTGCGGTGAGTGTTGACCCCAAGATTGACCTGCACTGTTCTCCATGCCAGCTTTAACGCATGAATTATGGTAATTGAGTGCAGTGAAGGGAGGCATAAATGCCCCCAGTTTCTCACCACCACATCTCATCTGTTTCTCTCTCTCTCTCCACCTTTCTCTCATCTTCGTCGGCCTCACCTTTTCCGTCTGTCTTTTGGCACTTCCTCCCCACCTCATCTATTTCATCTTAAATGAGGTAGGGGGTGATTTGTATCACTGTGACTGTGGAGGAGGGTGGATGATAAGAGGCAGACCAAAGAACTGCTAAAATGCTTTGCAAATGATGGGCCGACTCAGGATAGCGAATGATTGCAGAAAATCCCTGACATTTGAAGTATTTGTGTGCTGCAGAACACAACGCTTGCTTCAATTTTGCATTCTCTGAACTGTGCCACCAATGAAAGGAATTCTATTATGCAGTGTTGTTTTTAACTTCTACTACTCTACTATTTTTTTTTTTTGATTTAGCTTACGGCACATTATATATCCCAAAATGATATATGTGGCTTATTGTCTCACTTATTTGGTTATTTCCAGTGAACTAAGAGAAGTTGTTTCAATCGTCTCTTAAAGCTACCCTGTGCAAAAAGCCCACTGTCTCTGTGTCTCTGGATGCCTCCTTGCCTAACAAATACACTATTTATAAACCCATAACTGTCACTCCTTATTGTCAAACTCTTCATTATTAACCCAAAGATTTTTTGGACTATGTTGCACTATCGTCGTGTTTGCGCAACCTGTCACTTTCCAACAGTGTAAATGTGGGCCACCTAACACTCACATTACTTGAACCTATCACCCTGCTCACTCTAAAATCCCAATGACACACTGGACAAATGCAACACTAGTCGCTCATTATAGATTTTTTTTTTTCCTAATCCAAACCTTTCCTATCAGATGAAATCTTGCTGCCTCTTTGCCCCTCTCTCTCTTTATCGCCCTCTTTCTCTCTCCTCTGAGCCCATCACTCTTATAGCCATACCATCAGCGTGCATCATGATGAGCTCTGAGCCCTGCAGTGATGCGTTGGGGTACGGGGAGCGAACTAATCTCCGCTAAGGGATCCATTCAACTGTCACATCCTCCTGTGCTCCCCCACAGCCACCAATACAATAAGCCTGAATAATTTAGTTTTCATGTGGAGAGATGTCCTAAGGTCCTGTCTACTTATATTCACATATCAGCTGGGTGAGTGTGATGAGAAAAACAATAACGTTTATGTTTTATATTTTATAGAGGAAGAAGCTAAGCAGAGTATTAGATCTGTGGTGGATTTTCATGAAAAAATGGGCATATAAATAGACCGAGTTATTCCACTTGATATGATCTGCAAATCACAACTTGGAAGTCTTGACCTGTGACTTCTCTAATTACAATAAGGAAGCATAACATTTGGTGTCTGTCAGGAGCTTTCTCCTCTGTAAACCATGGGCTCTCTAGCAGATAAATTGACCTGCAGTTGGCTCGAACGCACTGAAGAATGCTTCACAGAGCACATATCATCGAGAATCATCCGCATTCAGGGTTCATTATCTCCACTGAGTTGACAGGAAGTCTGCCAGGACTCCTATGCTAGTAATATAATATACTGTTGATGAAGAAAATCAGAAAGCAGACAACTCTGTGTGATACCATGCCATCCCTCCCACCTTTAGGGGGCAGTGTGACAGCTTGCGTCGCCCAGATGGTCTGCCCAGTTTTCAGCTTCAGGGTGCAGGTGTAGTTCCCAGCTGTGTCAGGGGTGATGGGTAAGGGTACACTGGTGGTGATGGTGCCAGGACCGTTGCTTGTCATGTGCAGCTGGCGACTCTTATTCTGGTGTTTCCACTTGGCACTTTGGATGTGGGACTGCTCCGAGTATTGGCAACCCAACTCCAGCTTAGAGGGTGAACGCTTGGTTTTAACTGTGGATGCGATGTAGAGTAGACAGGGGGAGGGGAGAGGGAAAATGTTAAAGGTGAAGAAATGAAGGAAGGGTGAGTGTGAAAAAGACAAGAGGAAAGAGGAATGGGTGAGACAGGATGAGAAAGTGAGTTAAAGGGTAGTGTGTGAATATAGAAAAGGCCAAGGACAGATGGAGAGTAATGGGGTAAAGGGAAAGTGCTATGAAAAACAAAGAACAATTCAGAGAGGGGTCAAAATAATATATATTCATTAAAGTGATTTGCTGCTAATGCATTGGTTGACTGTGACTGATGCTTAGTGTCTCATCAAACTGAAATGAGAATCCATCTGGGTGTAATCAAGCTCCGCAGACTCACACACGCACGCACATAAAAACGCACACATTTCAGCCTTGATTAGTGTGATCAGTGTGGGCCACCTACAGCCTTGGTGGGAGGGCAGCAGGTATAATCATACATAATGATACTTATAATGAGGTGGGGTAAAAATATATGCATCACATGACTGGTGTGTGGGTGGATGTGTATGCGTGTGTGTGTGTGTGTGTGTGTGAGGGATGCAGATGTGTGAAGCAGGGTGACAGTGACAGTGACAGTGACAGATCGTCTGGTTACGTCTGGGCAGCTGTGATGGATGCCAGTGGGACTGTGATTAGTAAAGCCTTCCAAGGCCGCCATGACAGGGCATTGTATGTGTATACGTGTGTTGGGTTTTGTGTGTGTGTGTGTGTGTGTGTGTGTGTGTGTGTGTGTGTGTGTGTGTGTGTGGGTGCAAATGTATTCTGCATGTTTTCTGCAAAGGGTGAAACCTCCCCAAGGCTCACTCATAAAAATCAACAGGTGCTTTGCTCATTTTTTTTTATATATATCGAGCAAATGTTCCTTTTCATGTGCAATATTGTAAATGTATTCATTTAATAATGTGACATTTTACCAATAGCTGTAGGAAATTCTCATTTATCCTGCATAAGTCATAGTGGATGATCTGTGAGAACATTGCACTGGCAGCTGGTAAGACTTCCGCGTCTTGCTCGAGGACACATCAGCAGGACAAATATTTGCCAAAATGCCTCTAGAAACCTGGGTCCTCTGGTTACAGAGAAGTCTCGCTATTCATTTTGCCAAACAGTTTAAAGGAACAGTACGACACCTTGGAAATTCGCTCTTTTTTCCCGTTTTCTTGCAAAGAGCAAGATGAGAAATCAATACCACTCTCATGTCTGAGCACTAGAGCCAGTTTGCAATTAGCTTAGCTTAGCATTACAACATAAGCATGAGAGTGAAACAGTCTGTCTGGCTTTCTCTAAAATATAAAATATAAAAGCTTACTAATTATTACTTACTAATTTCATTTGTTTTATTATAATCATTAGTAATCAACATAAATGTAATGTAATATTAAGTTGTGGTTTTAAGGGAAGTTATGTGCTGTAACTATTTCTTGGCAAACAAGCATTAAAGTTGCTGCAGAGAAGAGCAGCGTTCAAACACAACTCCCCCTATCACCACAAGGCGTCTGTGCACGGATTAAAGAGATTTACAGGTGCTGCTGTGTGTATGTTTTTGAACATTTTAGAACGCAAGGTTAGCTTTTTCCCCTGCTTCCAATCTTTTAGCTACGCTAATCACTTCCTGGCTCTTGCAGTGAATAAGCATATGTTCCTAAATATCAAAGTATTACTTCAAATATACCACAGACAAATGACAAATTATAGGAAAAAGCAGCATAAATGGGTTTAAAAACAGAACATATGTAGCTGCCTCTAACAAGGTCATGAGGGGTAATTGAATGATTTGATGATGATTTGAGTATGAAATGATGTGTATGTGTGTGTGTCTGCCTGAGGCTGTGTGTGTGTGTGTGTGTGTGTGTGTGTGTGTGTGTGTGTGTGTGTGTGTGTGTATGACAACTTTTTCCTTTAATTTTTCATCCATCTGTGTATTCACCCTTCTCACAGGTACTTTGTATAACAGCATCCACATCCACACGTTATATGACACCAACACACAAGGTTATGATACAACTGACACCACTTGTCTCATAAATCCATCATTGCCCCTTGTTTTATTCCTATCCACCTCCTACTCCCTTTCTGTCTCCTCCTCCTAACCCTGATCTCTACCTTTCATCACGCTGAGCAGGGTCTTCTGGCTGAAGGCGTTGTCATTGAGGAACACTTCACACACGTAGAGGCCGCCATCTTTGATTCCAGGGATGAGTAGAAAGGAGAAGTTCCCAGCCTCTGCGTTGTAGGGTGGGCCAGCAAGCGTGAGTCTCTTGCTTTGATCAGTCAATATGGTGGAACTCCTCCAGCGATCATACTTATACACAATCTTCATGTTCTTTTTCTTGGCATCTGGGGGTTGCCAGTGCAGCCGGACATAGTCCCCACGGACCCCAGGACAGGTCAGGTTGAAGGACGTCTGAGCCTGTGTGGCGGTATGGATCACAGCTGAGGAGGGAAGAGGGAAGATAAACTAAAATGATGGAACAGATAAAACAGAGCATAAGTGAGGAAGACAGCACGCAGAGACTGATATAAAGACACAACAGTGCAAGAAGAGATAATGACAGGGAATTCAGAATAAAAAGAGGGTGAATGAAAAGTGAGGTGAAAACAGAGCGTAAACAGAATAATAATCGAGTGGGGGAAATGGAGATAGGGGAAAAATTCCTACAACAATGGGGATTACGTCCTTATATGCTGAGAGTCACTTCTTCACTTGGTCTTGCATTCTGCTCTGGCTGATTAGCAAGCTGCTGACGAAGGACTTTGAGACTCCTTGTGTTACAAAGTCACTCACCGTCTGTTATATTGGTGAATGAGGCCTCTTTGTCAGCTGCAGAGAGAAGGGAAGCAAAAAAATTTGAAAAAAGCAAAGAGCAAATAATGAATAATACATAAATGTATCAACTATAATATTCACAGGAGGACTGGCTGAATTTTAGTGCAGATCTACAGTAGACTTTTGAATCTTGAAACTGGTCTATGAAAGTAAATACTTTGAAGAACTGTGGCTACAGGACGCTTCAATAAATAATGCTGTTGCTGGAGTTTCTTGCACTGATGCCCATTCACACCATCAACAAAAGTAACAACCAATGTGTTCTATTCTTCAGCGTTTCTACGTCTGTCTTCTTCATGTCAGTCTCACCATCAACATTCACGTTGACACTGAAGGCGGAAATACTGCTGCTGCCGCTGCTGTTACCCAAAGGGTGAACCATACAGATATAGGCCGCGCTGTTAGTGACCCGTGGCAGTTTAGCCACTGTGCCGGTCTTTGGCACTGTCTCGCTCTTCATAAAAATGCCATTGGGCGACACCCAGGTGATTTTGGTGACGGCAAAGTCAGGGTTAACTCTGGCAATCAGCTGCAGGGTGCTGTGCTTAGGAATGGTTGGCGCAGGGATGATGACGACTGGAGATGAGGGAGGACAAGGGAAATCAGTGGTCAAAGAAGTACTTCAATCTTTTAATACCAAGATATGAAATGGAGAAAAGCAGCAAATTCTCACATTGGAGAAAAAATGACTCAAAAGATTAATTGATTACCAAGATAGAGGATAATTAGTACAAATCTCACATATAACCTGCTTTTCCTACCTTTAAGGGTGGCTAAGAGGATAATTCTCTGCTTCTGTATCTTTTCTTGCTGTATTATGCATATGTACAGGCCACTGTCCTCCATTTTGGGAGAAAGAACCAGAGAGAAAACCCCGGAGTCTTGAAAGTTAGAGTCTTTCAGTCGCATGGACTCTTTCGAGGCATTACCGGATAAATTCATCCTTGCGTTAGCTGAGAGAACCAGTTTCCATTCATGTGCACCATGTGACTTTACCTTCCAGTTAATGGTCACAGCATTCCTTACTGTACTATCAGTACACACCAAAGTGGTGGGCATGCCCTCTCTAGCCACCACAACATCATTCCATTCTGAGGGAGAGAGGACAAAAAGTTAAGAATTATAAATAGTAATTCAATCAGGCTAGTCTTTAAGAATACCTTAAAAATAAATAATAGTGGTGATGTGTTCTTTCTATCCTGTCCAACAGTTATGGGTTAAGTATAGTTTCATGCTTTCAAATCTTAAAACAATACTCGCATCTATATTGAAAGACTTCCCGTCATTGTAACTGTGCTTCCTGGTTGCACTGGCCACAAACAGATCCCTTTCTTTAAGGAATTTCAGTGTAAATGATGTGAGACAAAATCCACAGCCCTATTTATATGCAAAAAATGTCTTCCAGAGTTCAGCTGAAGCTAATATGTGGCTTGAGCATTCTGAGTCAATTTATAGTCAAGTCTTTTTTGTGCCAAATTCCTTCTTTCTTTCTCTGGACAGCATTTCCTTGGTGAGTTTCACTTAATGGAGACAAAAAGAGGGAAAAAGGCTGTAACTTTATTTGCGAATTATATAACATAGACTACATATTAGCTTTAAATGCATTTTTACACAGAAGAACTGTGGATTTTATCTTTGAAATTTCTTCAGGAAAGGGATCTCTGTGCAGCCAGTATGGGAAGGAGGACGTGTTAAAACCGAGAGAAAAACAAACCTTCTCCTTAACTTGATGCAACGTAACTGAACTTTTTGATAAAGAGGAACTCTATTCATGGATGACTCATCATTGGGTTTTTTTTTGTAGTCTAAAAGCAACATTCACATCTGGGAAATGTTGGCCCCCACCTTACCAGGAAGTTGGAGTAAAAATATGTTTCTTAAAATCACAGAAAGCATTTCATACCTGTGACGCCAATGTGAGAGGAATATACTGCAAATAAAGACAGAAGAATAAAGGTGAGAAACGCAGACTCCATCACACGTTTAAATCAAAGAGGCAAAACACTGTCACTGCACCAGCTGTCTCTCCAACACTGTGACCTTTCTAAGTATGCTCCAGAACACCAAGTATCGCTCGCTTTCCTGCAATATTATTGGTGTCCCTGACTGACATGTTAACAAGTTCACTGCACATCTTCCAGCCCAACAGGATGTGGCACGACCAACACCAGGATAATCAGCAGGAAGAGACTGCCTGTTTTGTTGTCATGTGTGTGTGTATGAGACTGATAAACTACATGTACTGGCATTAAGCCTCAAACCATAAATTTAACCTACGATGTTTTACAGCTTAACTTCTGGGCAATTAGTTACAGAACTTCTGACCCTAACATTCATTCTGACAAAAGGATTGAGCATGTACTCGTGTGTGTATCACAATGTGTGTGTGAAATAGAGAAAACGATAAGAACAGCAGAAAGCCAGGGATTGAGGGAGATGAAAAAGCGAGAAATAAAGAGTTTGGGTTAGTGTGGGTGCACAGTAACCCCTAGGCTACTTGTCTTTACATCCCATAAATGTCTTTAATTAAGCTAAAGGTATTATCAGCTCCTCTGAGCACTATTACAGATTTTTCCATAATTACCATTGGGTGAATGGGGGCGGTGAAGAGAGACAGCAAAAGAGAGAGAGAGAGAGAGAGAGAGAGAGAGAGAGAGAGAGAGAGAGAGAGAGAGAGGGGGAGAGCAAGCAGATATGTATTGTGGGTGTCTAATGACAAGGAAGGAGAGAAGAAAACGGAGAGCAGCAAGATGGAGAAATGTGGAGGGAGAGGTGCTCAGACAGAATGCGAAAACACGGGGAAGAGAGGAGAAGTGTGAGAGAGTGTTGCAGGGGAAAGAAACAGTGTGACTTCAAAGAAGCCTGTGGCTGGTGACACAGAGCGTGGTGCTGATCCTGTGGCCCCTCCTCTATGGGTAAATAATCACCATAAGCCTTGGCTCTGTCTAATGAATCCACTGCCAATGAGCTAATATCTGTTAACTATGTGCTTCATTATCGCTGCCACAGACCCCCGGAGAGCACGAGGATGGAGGACGGGATGAATAGCAGTAAGGAGTGAAGGACGAGTGGACAAAGAAAATCGAATGACACGGGAAGAGGCAGAGAGGGAGGGAGGGATAGAGAAATGAGGAAAGGGAGGAAAGTGAAGTGTAAATGAAGGGAAGGTGTAAGGGGTGTGAGATGGTGAGAAAGAAAAGAGGTGAGGTACTGTATAAGTAAAATGGGTGGTAGCTGGAAAGTGGAAGATGTGAAGGTCGATTTAGTATGGTCATGAAAAATGGATGTGAGTATGCGAAAGGAAAGGAATGAAATCCTCTATTTGGGGGCCACTTCCTTTAAAGCTCCACATTTCTACCTGAATGCGTACGCTTTAGCAGTTTAGCTGGGTTTATATGGGTGGTCCCTGCACACTTTCTCAGACTCATACATTCAGCTACAGGGCCTCAAGATGGCTTCAAATTAAAATACTGCAATGCAAAGTACTCATGGCATTTAAAAACCCACAGCTGCTTTGTTTGCACGGCAGATGCTTTCATATTCTCTGGATTCACAGTGGGCACAGAGTGGAAAGACAATGAAATTCCTGCTGTCTCACTGAAGACATTTCAATTGTTAATTTATTTTTTTCTGGTGTGCAGAACATTGTTTGACCTCTGATCATTATTGGTGACTTCAGAATTGGCACCTCAGAAATACAATCTAAAAATAAGGGGGTGACACTGCAAGAGAATTTGGAAATGGAACAGAACGGAAGGAATCGAGCAGCACAGTTTAAACTGTGGGACTTACGGAGATGTAATTACATTGGCTGTAAAACACTTGGGTATAGGGATTAGACCTAAACCAGATAATGCCTTTGCCATGCTAGTATGCACCCAGCTTCAGAGGAAAATAGGGCAAAATGAATTGGAAGTTATTCTGTGCAAAGAAAAAAAAATTCTCATCAACAGAGAGTCTGCTGGAATCTGCAAATAGATACATGAGGAGCTGTTTCCTCTTGATTTGATTTTGCTGACTGCCACTGGATTTGTTTTGCCGTTCATTAATGAATGTTTATTGATTCGGGCATCTGCTGTGGTGGAGTTTATATGAGCTAATCTCAATTCTGTGTGCAGATACAAACAGCAGAGGGCGTAAGAATCATCTAGTTCCACGTACCTCCTCACTACATCAAAACTGTTTGGACTTGGATACATTTTGTCGTAACTTTATGTTGTTGGGTTATTTTTTGGGTTGAATTCCGATTTTCTCTAGATGATATTGAGCTACAAGATTACTGTTTGTTTAATTTTAGCCATGGCAGCAAATTCATCAAGATAATTTGCAGGTAATATTGGCTGCTGATTACACGGAGATCATACTTCTCAGTTGATGAAAATATAACCAGGTTATTCAGGTATTTTCCTGGACATGAATCATGCTTTTGAATCATTTGTGTTTTCTATTTATGACAGAAATCTTCCGTCACAGTGAAACCTGCTGCGCTCTTTAGATGATAGGTGCAAGCTTGTCTTACTTAAAGCAAAACGCTTTCAACAAGTTGTTCTCAGAGGCTCCTCCTGCTGTAGCTGGTACTAATTGTTTTTTTGGGAAAAGCAGTGCTGTGACGCCTCTCAGCCTGATGACATCACCCAGTCAGTCACACACAGTCGGACCGCCGCGCGCTCAGACTCACAGGAACTAGTTGTCGGAGCAGAGAGAGAGAGAGAGAGAGAGAGCAAGAGAGGAAGCGCAGCAACACTTCATCACACACAGAGAGCACCAGCTGGGGGGGAATATTCACCTGTGCGCTGCCAGGACGAATTCACAAGGATTTTCATTCATTTTAGCAAGACTCCGTCTTAAAGGCGCAGTGAGGGACACTTGAAACAAGAGCCCCTGCCGGACCCCTGCTTTGTCCTGTAGCCAAACAAGTTTTTTTCTGCCTTGTATGAGTGAGATTTTTACACAGAAACTGACCCGCATCTGAAGCTGCTGTTTCGATCTTATCATTGATATCGGAGAGACTGAACGCCTGGTTCCATAAAGAGGACCGTAATCAACCATGGCGAGACATGACGCCCGAAATTGGCATGACTGCACAAAAATGATCGGACTGCTCTGCTTGGTCGCGTCGATACTTACAGAACAAGGTAAGAAATTATGACTTATTCAAAAACTAATTTCAGCTCATTGCCAGAAGCACATTTGCCTTTAATTTCTTCTCAGGGCTTTATTAATTAATGCTGACACAAATTTAAATTTGCCTGCCACCTGTCTGGGCGGTGACGGGAGCAGAAAATCCGGCAGGTGGTTCCCTCGGTCGCTGTACTGGCGAGTTTTTTTGAAATTATAACCCTTAAAATTTCTGAAGTTTTATTCACACTCACGTGAAATGAGTTGGTTTCATCTACTACCTCTTTCTGTCTTCCGCATTCTCTCGGACCAGCTGTATCGCTCTTTGACCTGAGTTTCGGTCTGACTCACACGCCATGTTTAGTTTTGCTAAGGTGTGGCTCTGTGGAGCAAGGTGTTTTCCGCAGGTGCTTGTCACCGGCCTTCATAGTGGTTTTCTCGTCTCTTTAAACTGAGTCACTATTCCAGTCAGTCCTTGCTCCTCTGTCCCCTAAAGCCACCCTTCTCCTCCTCAACGTCCCCCCCTGCTCCCTTTCTTCCCTCTGTCCGCACATCATCTTGTATTAGTTACAGTTCAGCAGAGAAAAATGGGCCTGGACACAGCTCTTAATGTACACACAGAGAACTGAGCTGAAACAACTGAAACTGGGAAGAAACGCGAAAGAAAAATCGTTTTAACCTGTGCTGGCTGTTATATTTTCTAAGTTTTCCCTCAGTGAACCACTCCCATGTAGGCCTGCACTGTAAAATCTGTAGCTTGTTACGTTAAACAAGCTAACAGGCCACTCCTGCCTCCCTGGCAACCGGTTCAAACAGGTTAATTATTCAAGTGTTTTCCAGTCCAGTTGCGATCAGGTTGCCTACAGGTATTCCGGCCACAGTGAGCAGGCCCAGAAATGACAGAAAAACATCCCTGGCATGCAGTTGACCTATTAACATATGAATGTGTGTGGCGTGAAACCAGTTCAACGTTTTCTCTGCTGCTCCCGTGCAAGACCAGCTATTTGTTTTGTGCTGTAATTGGGGCAAGAATGTAGGACTTCATGTAATGCCCCGGCACAGCTACAGTATATATATTCTCAGTAGTGTACGGTAATGTAGTCAATTTGTGGTGTTGTTTTAATCACCACTCATAAGCACAGTCACTCTTTTGACTTATTCATACAGTGGACCTTTTTTGTCCAATTTCATTTTACAGAACATGAAGTGCTCTTAGGGGAGGGAGAAAAGTGGGGGGAAAACAAAACAAAAGGTTTTACATATTTATGAGTGAGGAAAACGCAAGGCTTAACCAGTACAAGCAAAAACACTGCTTTTAGTTTTCTTTCATTTAAGTCTTTTTTTTTTTTTTTCAAACTGAACCTCTGGCCTCCTTTTGGGTAATAGTTAAGCTATGCAACTTAAGCTGCAACTGCTGCAGGAATGAAACTTTTCTCTTGTCTACTTTGCATTTTTAGTTTCACATTTCCATTCAAGCTTTGACACCACCTTCCACCCCAAATCTGAGTGAGAGAAGTGATTTAATGCTCTGCAAAGTTTTAAGTTTAATATATCCTTGCTTTAATGTAAAAAAAAAAGTCAATATCAATTTTGATGGGTTTTTAATCAAGGTCGGTTTCTGTGTATATCTTAATAGAAGATGGCAGGTGGGGGTGTAGTTTAAGCTCTGAAATTACACTATAATACCAACCCCCCACTCCCTAAGTCAAGGTTGTGAGAGACCATGGATGTGGGTTAGGAAGGCTTGGCCCATTACCATGGAGATATTTTTATTGGAAGAAGGGTGGGCTTATGTGAGGGGGAGTTTGGGAGGGGGGGTATGAGGCTATGAGGCTATGGCAGCATTGTTTTTATGGCTGAGTAAGCCGTGTGCGTGTGGGGGGTGACTGGCTGGCTGGCTGCCTGAGAAACTGGTGGGCATGCAGGGTCAGGGCCGGGGGAGGAGGGCTGCTTCCTTTGCTGCTCACAAATAAACCAATGTTTTTCTTTGTATACCTGAAAACATCCAGCGAAGCTACTTCAGATGCAAAGCTACTCTCGATGGTCCTTGTCAGGCTGGAGGAAACAGGTGGCTTTCCGGCAGCCTGCTGCATTACGTGGGGTTGTGGCTGAGTTTGGGGATTGGCTGGAAAACTACATGGGCAGCAACTGATTAAGACAGGCGACGCCCCACCTCCCCTCATTCCCAGCCGCCACTTGAAACCTCCCTCTCTCCCGCCAACCCTCGCTCCCTCCCCCACCTCTGCCGTCGAGTACATACAGGGGCCTTGTTCTCTTTTTATTTTCAGCTATCTTTCATTCAGTGTCTGTCCAGTGCTTTTATTTGGGTGATGGTAGTCACTGGCTTATTCAAATGGCCTCCCTCCCTCCCTCCCAGTCTCCCTGCCTCTGTTTGGACTCAAGGCCATGCTGCTTATGACAGGAACAACACGCAGACAGACAGGAAAATAAACCACATGTGAACTCACCATGGTCTGTACCCATGGCTGGAGGATTTCTTGTCATTCACAGCTGTGTGTGTCCTGCTGAAATGGTGTTTTTTGCATCCGGATCATGTTGTAATAACCTGTGAAATACTGGAAAATGTCCAGCACTTCTGCCATCTCATACGCACACACACACACACACACACATCCAAAGTATTAGCTCTCACTGTTTCCCTCCACTGGAGATATCCTGTGAGAACAGGGTAGTTCTGCCAAGCCCAGGACCATTCATCATTACAACAGAGAAAGAGTATTACACTTTGTCTATTAAGAAGAATATAACTGATGGATCATGAGAGGAATTTTTTTTTCCTACCCTAATGAAAGAAGGAAAAAGTAAGTCCTTAGTATCTCATTAGTCCCTGTGGAGCGAGGGGCTTCGGTCTGGGTTTGGTTTTGTGTTAATGGCTGTCGCGGTTAGGTCCTATCATTATGTAAATGAGCTGTCCTCGCCCCTTTGCACCGGCCCTGTAAATGTCAGTAGGATTTTGAAAAGGTCAGGTATGTGTGTCTATGTGTGTAAGAAAGTCTCGTTCTGTGTTTGATATGCACCAGTACTTACTTACACACACTTACTAAGGGGCCTTCGTGTTTAATTGACACATCAATAACCTCCTCCTTCCCGTTATAATCACCATTAAGAATTTGTTGATTCAAACATAAAAGTGTGCTTGAATTTATGGCTTAACGGAGATGTGAGAGTGATACTAAACGTGTGTGTGTGTGTGTGTGTGTGTGTCTGTGTGTGTGTCTGTGTGTGTGTGTGTGTGTGTGTGTGTGTGTGTGTACATGGAAACTGCATGGCAAGTGTTGCCCCATTAATTCTGAATAACTAAGTTATAGAATGACTGAAGCAAATATTTGGCATTTCACCAAATGAGCCTAATAATTTAGACAGCTTTCTATTATTGCTTGTTATTTCACCAGGTTGGCAATTGAAAAAAGTGATTTCAGCTCAGTGGCAGTGGTTAATGGCCGCCTAGAAATGAAGTACCTCTTATCCAACAATAAAGTAGCAATGGATGGAAAGCTTTTTAATAAATGTATTGAAAACATTTCAGAAGGAGACACTTTTCATTTTTGAAAACCTTTTTATATGGAAGCTATATTGATTAAAATAATGTTGGTTCTCGACATCATACAGGGTTTTGGATACACAGATATTTTGATAAATGAGTTTCAGTGAAGTGACTTTGCTCTGTAGGCTTTTCATTACCAATGACCAGAAACACAAAGGATCCATCAAGTTTATTGTTGACTTGGCAAACATTATTAGACGGGGCAGAGGAAACTGAAAAGAGGAGGTCGATGAGCACGAGTCACTGCATCTTGCGTTGCATTTTAGGCTGCGGTATTGTACCACAAACAGAACTGAGTACACACACCCACACACACATAAAACTGGTGATGAATCAGGGAAGTGACCTGAGGCTGCGCCGGAAGTCAGATGACATTCCAATAATAGGGAGGAGCCGTCACGTCGCTGGATGACAGTGCATGTGTGCGTTGCTGTTTCCTTCACGAAGTGGTGTGTATCATCCTCATCAGCAACCCTGTTATCTTCCACAGACATCAGATCTGAGCACACCCTTTTTTTTTTTAATCACTCCCTGCTCATTTAACTGACTCTCTTTCAGGGTGCCTCTCCTGCAACTTGTAAGTAATGATAGTGGCTTTCCTGTTTATAAGAGAACCAAAGCCAGTGGCTCTGTGATGGATCCATCTCCATGTCGGAAGTCTCCCCTACTGCCCTCCGCCTACATGTGCATGCTGGGTAGATGGCGGCCCGTGTTGAGGCCACACTGAGAGCCCCCCACAGGGATGTTTGTGTTTAGCTCCCAGGGTTACCAGACTGTTGGAGCCGATCCCATCTGATCCAAAGGAAAATGAGCTGAAATCCTCCTCTTAGAAGGAATGCCAAATGTAATTAATATGAATTGGGGAGCTGAGGGGTTTCCAAAAACACAACAGCGCTGGGGTCGATGATATTCTTGGCAGAGGTGTTGGGTTAAACTGTTATCTACATCAAATCTGTGTGCATTAGCTCTCACACTGTTATGAGTTCACTGCAAGAGACCATGCCATAACGTTGTCTAACCACCCACATGTTTTGAGATAATGGAGTGTTTTAAGACTGTACTATTTGCTGGAGCTGCATGCCAGCAGCTTATCTCGTATAAAAATGCTAAAAGGCATGTGGCTTACTTTATTTTTCAGTCACACACACATTTCCACACCATTAGTCAAGATACCTTTTGCCAAATCTGCATTTCCCTATGTCTAACAAACCCCAGATGGAATTTAGGGAGATGCAGGTCAGACCCATTCCAGCTCAACCGATGTGGAGAATGAGCTGTAATTCCAATTGAAGATCCAATTGAAAGGCAGCCAAAGTCTTTAAAATAAAAATCCCCTTAATTAACTAGACTTGGGAGATGGGTGTCTCTGCGACCCCCGCTGCAGTAAAATCACTGAGGAGGAGCAGCGAAAGAAGAGCAGAGGGGGTGAGTGGGGGGGTCGAGGATGTCGAG